CAATCCGGAAGATCCGGATCGCATTGGAGACCGAGATGTCCTTGCTTCTGCCCGTAGAAGAAAGCAGTTAGCTCGAGAAGCAGCGTTACAGCGGGAAGAAGAGAGACTGAGACGAGAAGCTGTTGCAGCTGGAGCCGGACCCTGTACATTGCCACATGCCGACAACGATAATGACCACAACAACAATCCCGATAATATGGATACTGACGAGGAGATGGAGGAAGATGATGGGCCAGCAGATGCATTTCAGGATCGTAGAGGTGGTCGTGTCTTACCCTTTCCGCAGCTGCCTGGTCCGGCGTACTTGGAGGGTCCGTGCGAGGGAGGGCCGCAAAATTTAGAGTTTATGCGATGGTTCAAGTCGCATATAGCGATGTACATTTGGGAAGGATATGTAAGTTTTTCTGTCAACACGTGCTTTACATAATTCTTATATTATTCATTTTTTTTAGCTAACAATACATGCAATATTTTTCAGGAGCGCCGTGAAACTACACGGTGCGAGTCGAGGACCAAAGCACTCGAGGACTACCGCGGCCCGCAGGATAACATGATGATTGCGAGGTTGGAGGCAACAGGTCTTTACCACTTACGAGACTGTTTTCTGAAGAGGATGAACAAGAACCTCATGCTAGCTTTCGTGGAGAGGTGGCAGCCGGAGACGAACAGTTTCCACATGCCATGGGGCGAGATGACGATCACGCTCCACGATGTCGCTTTCATCCTGGCGTTGCGGCTGGACGGACCAGCAGTGTCTGAAATTCGCCCGGTAGAAGAGTGCTCACAGAGTCTTGCATCTGTATTGGGTGTCGGTCTGATGGACACCAATGAGTCGCTCCACGATGTCGCTTTCAAATTGTTTGGTAATTTTTTTTAAATAAGATTTTAAAAATTCAAGAAATAAGTCGATGGAGAGTTTTTTTAAAAAGTACATATACTCCACATTTTTAATTAAAATTATATAGTCAATAAAATAGTTAATAAGCACATTATTCAAATATTTTAAGAATAATTTTAAAATAAAACCTAACAACTTATTGACTCTTAAAATAATTTATTAAACTATAAAAATGTATCAATTGTTTAAAATAAGTTTATCTAAACAAACTATAAATAAAAAATTAAAGCGTGACATGCTAACCCTACAAGTAGTGATGAAAATGCGCACACATACCAAAAAGATGAAATAATAAAAGAAGAAACATGTCAATTTTGAGCCACGTAGCGATGAACTAAAATAACTAATCATCTAATGACAACCCAATGTAAAATAATATGGATTTAAAAAAAAAAAAACATATTTTTTTATCTTTATCTATTGGAACGTTTGAATAAAAATTGGTTATAAATAAATAGACAACAACAAATTCGATATTTTATTTTTGTTTTATTTAACCCTTTGAGAATTTGAAGGGTGCACATAATAGTGCTAATTTGTTTTGATATTTTATTATGATTATTTGACAAGACAACCAACAGTTCGCTCATAGTACAGAATAATTTCCGCAGTCGTATTGTACAAATTGCACGTGATCATATGTGACGAATTTGATCTAAAAAATATTGTCGAATGAGAAGGACTCGAGTCGAACTGACATTGCACTCTCTTACTCCACCAATTAGATCACTCACATTTTTTTATGGGTAACTTGGTTTGGTTCTTGGTAATACAAAGACATGCATCTTGAAATTTGTATTCCGTTCACTACAGATTTCATATCTGCAAAATGTAAATACGAGACAAGTAAAACGAGAACAAATGAATCTATTAATCGTAACGAAAATGGATTATAATCTATGAATAAACCCCCTAATTCTAAGGAGTGATTTCCTCCAAGATTATAATTTAATATCATATAATTCAATCGCCACCAACCAAACAAGCTGTTCCGCCGGTGGGCCTCCGATCGCTGCCTTTCTCTGATTGGTCGTATGGCTACCCCACTTCGTCTTTCATTGTGCCGTTTTTGCCCTTCCCTTTTCATTTCCTTCTACTTTTTTAAATTAACCATTTCACATTTAGAGAATATAATAATATGGATAAATTACAACCACCCTGAGGTATAGTCAAATTACGAAAAAAATTCCTCCTGTTTGTATAATTACATCTACCCCTCAACTATGAATTTTCTTACATCTACACCCTTATGGTGTTAAATTCAACATAATTATCTAGATTCCGTGGAATGTTCTTTAGTTTGTACTCGTTTTGTGCAAGAATACAGTTTCTCATGCACCACAATCTGATATATATACATGACAAAAAACACATCTTATGATCATCTAGCTTCAAAATATGGAGATCGAATGCGATAAAACGGGTCCAAAATTGAGAACATTTCATATAATTTAGAAGATTCCACTAATTTTAAAACTACATAAGTGGACTTGTAAGAGTATTTATAGTTGAGGGGTGAATGTTATTACCCAAATATGAGGACAGTTTCGTAATTTAAACATACCTCAGGAGTTGTTGTAATTTACCCTACTAATATTAATAACAGTAACAACTCAATATTATATTGATTTATATACAAATTAAAAGAAATAGATTTAATAACACAATTTAGCTAGTCAAAGGTGATTGAAAGCTGTGAACATATATATAATTGTTTGAGGTATTAACATTTAATCAATTATTATATTTTTATTAGGTCTGCAATTATTGGTCTTGAATGATTGAGGTGCTAAGTTCAAAATTGCTAATAAGTTCATACCAATTTGAAGCAAGACAACTACATGAGTGAAACATACATATATTATATTATAAGGTAAGCATATGTACATATTTTGACATAAATAAAATAAAATAAAATATTAGTAATGAATGAATAAACCCGCAATCAACTGTACAAGGTGCACCGGATATTAATATACATATAGTAACAATTTTATTCATATTAATTTACAACATTGACGACACATATAGTATATGCATATTTTCAATTTCGAGCCTATGAATTAGTTAGACTAAAGTCGTCCCCAAAAATTAGGCAATGTTTGGGCATTTAAAACTAAGGTAATCATATTTTAGCCCACTAACATGTAGTATTAATTAGGGAAATTAGATACTAGACCTGATTATTTATGTTCAATGATTATGAATTGACACAACATCTAATTATCTCTAAAACACGTACACACACGACACACTGGATGATTGTGAATTGACACAAAATCCAATTACCCCTAAAACACACACACACACACACTTGATTTTTTTGAGTGACTGTGAATTGACACAAAATCCAATTACCTCTAAAACACAAACACACACACACACACAAACACAACTAATTATTTACACCGGATGATTTTGAATTAACACAAAATCCAATTAGCTCCAAAAAAAACACACAGACACACAGACACAAGAGGCAAAAGCGATGGGCAGTAAATAGACAAAAAAGTAAAGGCCCAAAAGACATAGTAATAAAAAAGATGGAGTTTGGAAGATTTAAATAAATGGGGATCCGGATTTTTTGGTCCAGAAATCTATGATCAATCCACTGTCTTGCTGCTCGATGGGGATCACACCTTCTAATCCTCAAACAAAAGTACTTACATTTTATTTTATTTTTTATTTTCCAGCCCAACGTTCAGAAAATAAAAAAAAAATTGGACCACATTCATTAAATTTCGATATATATATATATATAGGCGGCGGATATATGCAAGCCCATTTTTTTATTAGTTCAAGACCTTCATTATAAAAATACTAATTTACCCTTAATGAAATTCAAAACCAAATAAAAAACATAAATCATCAAAAAAAAAAAAAATCGGCGTTACAACGCCGATTTTGACTTGTAAAGTCGGCGTTGTGTCGCCGATTTGGTTAACAAAAATCGGCATTGTGACGCCGATTTTCGAGTACAAAATCGGTCTGGATAAACCGATTTGGGAAACCTACGAAAACACACACAAAAATAAATTTCGATCTCATTTTTTTTTCAAAATCGGCTAAAGCATTGCAACCCAACAAGAAGTAAGCATAGATTAATGTTCATCCACACATATTTATCAAGAATCGATGCTCGATTAATGTTTTTGAATTGACAAACAAAAGATTAGTAAAAAAGAATTGTTGGTGGTGGTGATGGTGCGGTGGGGGGTGGTGTGGTGGGTGGGTCGCTGGTCGTCGCCGGCGTGGTGGAAGTCTCGCTGGTCGATGTCTCGGCGGTCTGGTTGCGGCAGTTGTGAGTTTTTTCTTTTTTTTTTGTTTTTTTTTTACTTGTTTTTTTTTTATTTTTTGGTTTAGAACAAATTAAAAATAGAGTTTATTTGTATTTGGGTAGTATTTATTGATAAGGGTATATTCGTCATGTTTGGTCTTGATGTAATAAAAATAAATTAATTTACGGGCTTGAACTAATAAACTCATTTATGTGAGGTTGAACTAATAAAAAAATGGACTTGCATATATCCGCCGCCATATATATATAGTACACATGATATATATTTTAAATAAATTCGTAGGGCGGGGTAATTAATTACCATGCACAATTAAAAAAAATGTTGAATTTGAAATTAATCGCAATAAGTATGAAGCCGGGAGACGTGAATGTAGTTACGGGAGTAAACGAATAATCGATTTGAGACGAATGAACGTGTTGTTCAAGTTTGTTTGAATTTCGAATTATCGAGTTTTGAAGATGTGTTTTGAGCTTGATTTGATAATCAAACGGATTCGAGGTTTAACGGGGTTTAACCGAGCAATTTTAATTTAAAATAAGAAAAAGAAAGGAGATGGTTGACATATTGAGAGAGGGTTAATAATTAGGGTTGGACCACCCTAAGGAAATGAATCATGTTTGTGGAGAGGGGTTCACAATTCCAATAGGGTGGTCCTCTTTTTTTTTTTTTTTGAGATAAATTAAATAAAAATAAAAAATAAAAAAACATAAGTTAAAAAGGTGATTTTTTGGATTGTCATTTGTCAGTCCTCCGACCATCACTGCTTCTGGTCCTGTCCGCACATTTACCCCAAGATTTTATGTCACACCATACCCTTTTTTTTAATGTTATTTTATATTTTTACTTTTGAAAATTATGGTAAGAAATTTAATTAATGTGGTCATATTTATTTATTTTCTTTTGCTTTTTGAGTTATTTTTTTCTTTTTGGGCTTATGAGAGCCCAATTGGAAGCCTAATCTTTGTCCTATTTCCATTTAATTGACAAATGGGGTACAAAGCCCAATGTATTAATAGATTGTATTCGATTTTGCCATTTCAGAAACACTAACAGTCGACAAAGTTTTAACTCAAATATTTTTGAGTAAATTCCTGAACTTTGGCTAAATTATAAAAAATACCCCAACATACCCGTAATTACCAAAATCTTGTTTCTGTCTTATACCAACTCTCTTACAATCAGGGGCGGACCCGGGGAGTATTCGGTGGGGGGGCTAGAATTTTTTTTAGACTAAATTTGAACTTTGGGGGGCTAAATGGTATAAATTAATAAATAAATAACATAAAATATTAAAAATTTCATAAACAAAAGGGTAAAAAAAAAATTCTGCAGGGACGGAGGCCCACAAGTAGACACGGCCACGGGCCGGGTTTGAACCGCCCCGTTGACCGCCCCGCCTAAGCACGGGTCGATATCGGGTCCAGATATTGTGGACCCGAAACCCGGCGGGGGGCCCGAGGACCCGTCGGGTCTACCCGGATTTTGGGTATTTTTTGTCCAAAAATTGCCCACCCGACTTTGGGTATTTTTTGTCCAAAAATTGGGCATTGAGGAATTCGAACCCGGGTCGATATCGGGTTTGAACCGCCCCGTTGACCGCCCCGCCTAAGCACGGGTCGATATCGGGTCCAGATATTGTGGACCCGAAACCCGGCGGGGGGCCCGAGGACCCGTCGGGTCTACCCGGATTTTGGGTATTTTTTGTCCAAAAATTGCCCACCCCGTAATTACCAAAATCTTGTTTCTGTCTTATACCAACTCTCTTACAATCAGGGGCGGACCCGGGGAGTATTCGGTGGGGGGGCTAGAATTTTTTTTAGACTAAATTTGAACTTTGGGGGGCTAAATGGTATAAATTAATAAATAAATAACATAAAATATTAAAAATTTCATAAACAAAAGGGTAAAAAAAAAAATTCTGCAGGGACGGAGGCCCACAAGTAGACACGGCCACGGGCCGGGTTTGAACCGCCCCGTTGACCGCCCCGCCTAAGCACGGGTCGATATCGGGTCCAGATATTGTGGACCCGAAACCCGGCGGGGGGCCCGAGGACCCGTCGGGTCTACCCGGATTTTGGGTATTTTTTGTCCAAAAATTGCCCACCCGACTTTGGGTATTTTTTGTCCAAAAATTGGGCATTGAGGAATTCGAACCCGGGTCGATATCGGGTTTGAACCGCCCCGTTGACCGCCCCGCCTAAGCACGGGTCGATATCGGGTCCAGATATTGTGGACCCGAAACCCGGCGGGGGGCCCGAGGACCCGTCGGGTCTACCCGGATTTTGGGTATTTTTTGTCCAAAAATTGCCCACCCGACTTTGGGTATTTTTTGTCCAAAAATTGGGCATTGAGGAATTCAAACCCAGGTAGATGGGTAGAATTTGCCAATACTAACCAGTGGGGCAACAAACATATTTGTTTTACTATAGATAATAAATATATATAATATAAAACTCCAGTGTAAAATAATAAATATGTTAAATAAATTATTAATTTTCATATTAATTATTATTAAATAATTTTAATTAAATTATTAACAAATGCAATATAAGAAACTTTTAAAAATATATATAGAATCACGGTTCAATATTTCAAAACATCTATTATTAATTACTATATCAATATAATCTCCACTATTGAAAAATATAAAGTATTGAATCAATTCAATATATAAACAAACGCGTTGACTTAATACAAACTCACTTATGTTATTAAAATCGATAGTGTGAAAAATTCGAATGAAAAATAAATAATATGTTTGTTTAAAAAAATAGGTTATAACTCATTTCAATTAATTTAAATAGATTAACCTCAATTGTTGACAAGAACTTATTAAAATTATTGATTATTTTATCATAAGATAGTTATTTAAAAATATAGATGATGTTTATTTAACAAAAATAGATTATATCTCATTCTAATGAATTTTTTTACTTTAAAAATAAAATTATATATGACGAGTATAATCAAAATATTATGATGTGATTTCTCTTTTAATAATTGGTTTAATTTGTAAAAATCGTAAGAATTAAATATCGTAGGTCATATGATTTAATCATTTTTTTTACATTTACATTTTATTCAAATATTAGAATCGAATTGTAAGATTTAAATGAATTCAGCTCAAGTCCTCTCATTTCTTTTATTTTTTTTATTATATTATATTTGTTAATAATTTAATTAAAATTATTTAATAATAATGAATACCCATAATAATAACGAATAACTATAAAATTATTACTTTCACTTATAAATACCTATAATTCAATCTTCACAACTTTCATTTTATTTAGTTTATGTCTCAAAGTCTTAATCGTTTCATTTTTTTCTAAAATTATTTAGTTTTTAAATTCAATTATTTTTTTCATTTTGAATTTAAAGTTAATCTCATGTTTTTTCAAGTTTCAATATAAGTTTTTTTCTTTATTGTAATAATAATAATAATAATAATAATAATAATAATAATAATAATAATAATAATAATAATAATAATAATAATAATAAAATTTGAAAAACCGGGTGGACCCGCCCCAGACCCGGACCCACCTCCCCGCGGGTCGGTTTCGGGTCCTCTAAAAGTCGGACCCGGACCCGGACCCGACCCGCCCCGTGGCCATGTCTACCCCCAAGGCATACCTTGGGTCCGCCCACGCTTACAATGTGATTTTTTAAAGATTTTTTTTTATTATTTGCATAAAAAAGTCAATTCTACCCTTACGTACGTGATATTTCTTTATGCTACGCTTTTTAACGATAAAAATTGCCGATAGAAGCAATAGTTATTTTGTAAGTAGTATATTTCTAGCAATGTATATTTGTAGTACATATATGATATAACCAACAAGCTCTAGACAACAGAAGTCGAAGAAAATGTACATCGTCATCAACAATAAAACACACACACAAACACGCGTACGGTATCGTTTATTATAGTAAAAATTTTAGTTTTCAGAATCTAGATCGAGTTGGTCTCGGTATTCGAAATCTTAGCCTTCTCGACAATGTATTTGCCCTCCTTGAACTTGTCTCTTGCTTCAAAAGCTCTAACATAAGTCCAACCCATTTCATCACTACATTTGCTGCAAAATATTTTAGCAATCGTGTAATAACCGGTTATTAGTTGTCCGTCCTCCTTCGCCCCAACTATGATGTTCATTGCATGTTGGAACATATACGCTTGCCCCGATTTTGCCTAAGTCAACAAACAAAAAGGATATCATTACGACTAATTAGATGCTAACAAAAAATTACTGACACAAAAGACTATAATTTGTACTTCGAGTTGCTGCAGCTTTTCTTCTCAATAAAAAAATAGCGGAAGAATCTGTTAATAATTATTATTAAAAAGTAGTTTCAAGAAATTATGGATTAACAGAGTGATTATGATCAAGTTTTTTTTATGACATAGCAATAATTAAGTTATGTAATAAGTAACTGATTAGCAAAAAAATATTAAAGTGCAAAAACAAATAAAAATCACCAGGAAATTCTTGGAAAGGAGATCTTCGTGTAGTGCAACAGGATTCCTGCAATTTCTGCAGCTGTAGTACAGTGGATTCCCTGCGGTTTCTTCCATTTGGACTTAAAAATCAATCAAAAAGTAAATATATAGTAATTATTTTGAATAAAAAAAAAAATATTAGAAGAAAATAGGACAAAATAAGAAATGGAAAATTGATACTTAACAGAGAAGGAATTAAAGATAGTCAGAAGTAATGATATAATGTAGAAGTGTTAGGTGAAGAAAATAGAGGTTGATTTGAAGATTAGGAGAACAAAATAAAATTAAACTATATTTTTATTTTTTAGCTAACTAATATACAGGAAAATATATAATTGATGTGGTCAAGTCTCTTTTATTTAATTGTGGCAATTTGTTAAAAGTCCATCAATCCTAATTTTATTAGTAAGGATAAATTACAAACACCCCCTGATGTATGGTCAAATTACAAAAACACCCCTCTTGTTTGGTAAATTACAACCACCCCCTCAGCTCTTCAAATTTAGTGGAATCTTCGAGACTATATGAAATATTATCACTTTTGTACCTGTTTTATACCATTCAAACTCTACATTATGAAGTAAGATGATCATAATATGTGATTTTTAACTTGTGTATATCAGTTTGTAGTGCATCGGAACCCGTATATTTACACAAACGAATACAAACTAGAGCACATTCCACGGAATCTAAATGATTATATTGAATTTGACACAATAAGGGTGGAGGTGTAAGAAAAAATCATAGTTGAGGGGGGTAGATGTAATTATCCAAACAAGAGGGGGTTTTTGTAATTTGACCATACCTCAGGGGGTGTTTGTGATTTATCCTATTAGTAATAAGGTCTTGTCGATCGTTTTAAAGGTTTCGATTGAATCCCCTCGCGCGTCATTTGGACGAAAATACCCTATATTTTTCTTTGATAAAAGTCCTCCGTCCTACCAAACAACATGCCATATATAAGGGTGCGTAAGGGCATTTTGCGGATGGTGAAATTGGTTTGATCGAATCGGCTGGTCAAACAATATAACCGACGACAAACATGTCATTAGTTAAAAAAAAAAAAAAAAAAAAAATAGTAACATCATCTAATCGGCGTTAAATAATTGTGTTCTTTTTATTGTCAAAAAATGAAGAAAGAAAATTGTGTATTTTAACTGTGGTTCATGGACCGTGATTAATATCTACGGTTAAAACTTCTTTAATTTAATACAGTTGGTAAGTTGGTATCAGTAAATTTCTATTAATTTATCAAACTAATAATATAATATAGAGTAAATTACAACCAACCCCCGAGGTATAGTTAATTTACGAAAAAACCCCTTTTATTTGGATGATTACATATACTCCTCAACTATGGTTTTTTCTTACACCTCCACTCGTATGGTGTCAAATTCAATATAATCATCTAGATTTCGTGGAATGTGCTCTAATTTGTACTTGTTTTGTGTAAAAATACAGTTTCTGATGCACAACAATATGATATATACAAGCCAAAAAACACATATTATGACCATCTTGCTTCGAAATGT